TCCGGCCCCCCACACCCCTCTTCCCTCTCCCGCACCCCTTCGGTCCCCTCCCGAAGCTGCACGCCCCTCTCCCCATACCCGGCTCCACGACTCCGCGCGTGCCTCCCGGTGCCCTCTCCCCGCGCCCCTCCGCCTCTCTCCGCTGCGCCCCAGCTCCCTGGGCACCTTGCCCCTCTCTGCTGGCCCCCCAGCCTCCTCGTCGCGTCACCCGCACCCCCTCCTCTACCCGCGGCCCCCGCTCCCTCCACCCCCCTTCCCTCTCTCACTTCCCACGCCCCCTCTTCGCGCTCCTCTCTCCTCCCTTTGCCGCCCAGCGCCGGCTCCGGAGTTGGGGGAGAGCCCAGGGTTTCAGTCGCTTTGGAGGAGGCGTGAATCGCGCAGGGATTGACTAATTGGGGGTGGGGGGCGCGGTGGGCGATGGAGCAGCCCGAGGACATGGCGTCGCTGAGCGAGTTCGACTCCTTGGCGGGCAGCATCCCGGCCACCAAGGTGGAGATCACCGTGTCCTGCAGGTGAGCCGCCCGCTGGCCGGGTCCCCCTGCCCCGCCCCTGGACCCGGAGCCCCGCGGCCCCTGCCGCGCCGACCCTCTACCCTCGCGCGCCCCCTTTCAGAGTGTCCTTGCCTCCAGGACGCCCCCTTGCCTGTCCAGCGGGAGCCCCTGCCCAGCCATGGGTGGTGACGGCGGAATGGGAAGGCAGGCTTGGGGTCGTATCGCGGAAAGTTTGCACTCCAGGCTGCTGAGAGGAGAAATGCAGACACAGGAACAGGGGGTCCAGGCGCCCGAGGAAGGAGAAGGAGGTAGTGAAAGGCTATCCCAGGCTATTTCTGATCAACTCCTCCCCAAATGGAGAAGTGAGTGATTTGCCCCATCCTTCTCAGCCTCTGCCTTCTGTGTCCTTCTCTCTTCTCCTCTCCCTGCTCCTTTGCCCCACCACCCTCCTCCCCTCCCCACCCACCCCTGTCCTAGACCCCAGGATTTAAAGCTTTTCTTCACCTCCAACAGCAAAACTGACTCGTGGAAAAGGATCAGATTGATTCATTCATACTGAGCTGTGGATAACTGATAATAACTTCAAGTGGCATCATTTAAAAACAACAACAACAACAAAAAACAATAACTTAGGTACAAAATCTTAAGCCAAAGGACTAGAACACTGAGTGTGGAATTTTGGAGTCCAGTAGGGGAGGCGAGGTGTGTTTTTGTGGGCTACCACCCCCAAATCCTCAGTCATGTCACACAGACTTTCGGGGTATCTCCCCCAGTTTCTCCTATCTGAGGAGAAGGCTGCCCCAAGTAGTAAGGGGGTACCGGTGGAGAAGGGGGATTCTTCTCTAGTGCAGTCATGACCTAGGGCTGGCCTCCTGTCACTGCCTGGCTGGAGCTGGGAGGGGTACTGTGGCCCAGGCATAGCCCCCCCTTGACATTCCCCTGGAGAGGCCATTCCTCCTGCCCCAAATGACAAACAGCATTTCCCTAGTCCTGGCTCTGCCCTTGTTCCAAGTCGCCCACCCCATTTTTGTCCAGGTCCCTCTCTGGTCAGACCCTTCACTCACCCTCGCGGCCTCCCAACCCTCTTTTCCAAAGTTGTGGCATTGGTGTGTGTGTGGGGGGTGTATAGACAGAGCCAGAGGAACTGGGCTGATGTGTGAGCAGGGGAGGGACTGAGGGGATTTGAGGGTGAGTGGGAGTGAGTGCTGGTGAGGTGGAACTAGCTGCCCCCCACCCCCATGCTGGGCCCTTCCTGGGTCTCCTGTGATAGCTCCCACATGTCTCCACCACGGTCCCACACATCGCTATCAGAATTATCTCTTGACACCATTTGCATCTTGCCATTGCTCTGCTGGGAGATTCCTGATGGCCATTAGCTCCAGTCTCACCTCCTCAGCCATCAACAGTTGCCATGGCCTGCCTTCCCTCCCCTGTGGAGCACACATCCCTGCGCCTGATGCTCCCTCCCAGCTTGTCAGGCTTGTGTCAGAGCTGTCTCCGGATCCTTGTCACCGCTGAGCTCTGAACAGCCAATGCCCCATCCTGAATTCACCCCTCCTTCATCTCGGCCAGTTCGTATCCCCCCATCCTGAAAAGCCTAGCCTCCTCCTGCCCCCCCCCCACTTCCAGCCATCCTTCTCACCCATGAGACACCCAGCCTGAATCACAGTCTTCTGTGTCCCCTGGGTCCTGAGTACTCAGCCTGGGCCAGGGGGTCACTCACAGACTGAGCACTCAACCTCTGAAGACATGTCAGGTGTGGAGACTTCACCCCTCCCCCCACAAAGCAACTGTATAAGCATTTGAGGTCAGGGATCCCCACCCTGCCTCCCCGCCCGTGAACCCTGCACTGCAGTGGAGAGGAGAGGAGGCAGAGAGCACATGGCATGGTGGCTTTGGAGTCCAACACCTTGAAATGGGTGCTGCTCCCCGCTTTGGGGCAGACTTTTAGCCTCCATCGCCCCCATTTGTCAATGAGACACACAGTGAACCTGTATTCGAGAAATCTTACTTGCTGAGGGAGCTCACATGCTTAGAAGAGTGGTTGGCATGTAGCAGATTCTCAACAAATGCCATTGGAGGAGTCAACTCCCAGGAGTAGAGGATCACGAAGCACCCAGCACACTACGTTGCACTTGCTTGGCACACAGTACGTGCTCAGTAAGTGGCTATGATGATACCTGTAAGTTGGTAGCACTTGGCCCCTTCTGTTTGCTCCCTGAAAGTGGAGGTGTCCAAAGGATGCAAACTTTTTGCCTAAGAAGTACCTAGCGATGCATCCGAGTGCCTGGGGGATGTAGTTTGGGATCACCCCTGGTACTGCTTCCCTCTCAAGGGACATGATCCATCAGCCTGAGGAGGGCCTGACTCAGGTGGTCTCCTGAAAGCCAGAGGGTGGGAAGTGGGTTCTGGTAGGAAGAACGAGGAGGCAGGAGTCACCTGGAACAGAGGGGAGGCAAGAAAACAGTCCGGGTGGATTTGAAATTGTAAATCCATCTCTTTGCCTCAACCAGACCCAACTATCTAGGTTCTAGAAGAGAGAGAGATGAGAGAGAGAAGGAAAAGGGGGAGGAGGGCGAAGAGGAGCATAGGGAGGAGGGAGGGCTGCACAGAATGGCTTTCTCCAGCATATTCTACACTCCATGGTCATAAGTCTTCCTCCACTGTATCCCATGGTCGGCACTGGCAGGGTCCCAGGAGAGGAGGCTAAGGGATGCCCTGCCCCGAGCATCCAAGTGACCCCTTCTGGTGGGCAGGAAATAGTAAGGCGGGCAGAGGGGTTGGTGGGGTGGAGTGAGAACTCCAGGGGGCTTTGGAATGGGCAGCTGGGAGCCAACATTTCAGGTAACTGGAAACTAGCATTTCTGGGAGCCAGTTACCTTCCTGCTCTCCTCTTAGTAAGGTCCCTGCCACCCCCTGCAGCCCCAGGAGCCTCTCTGCACTTGCCTAGGAGAAGACCCAACCCCCTACCATGCCTATCCTAGGGCACTCCTAGCTGAGCATAGCTGCCTGATAGAGGGCACGTCTGAGCCCCAGCGCAGGACCACCACGGAGGCCTGGCCAAACCTCCCCTAAAGGCACATGACACTGTGGGATGGACATATTTGGGTCCCTGCTTTGGGTAGAGTATCTCTTGGGTGATCTATAGTCTATTCCCAAACAGTGGTTTTTACCAACTTTGGTAAATTCAGGGTCAAATATTGTAAAGCTTCTGGTTGTTTGGCTCAATGATTAGGAACTTGAGCTGTGGGATTGGTCCACCTGGGTTCAAATCCCAGCCCTGTCCTTGTGACATTGCATTAACTACTTAACCAGTGCCTCAGTTTACTCATCTGTAAAAGATGCACACTAATTCTTATCACAGCTATGAGGATGAAGTGGATTCATCCATGAATGGTCATTTATTTGCCTATTATTTGACACCTGAAAGTAAATTAAAAAAATCTGTCTTTCTAGTCGGGTCCCAGGGTTTCTGTGGGTCCTGGAGATCTGATCCATCTAGAGATTCTTATTCACCCCTCCCCCCTCCAGCTTTATTGAGATATATTTGACATATCATGTACATTTAGAGATTCTGAGGGGTTGTTTTGGGGGTGAGTAGGGTAAATGTTTGTGGAACCACATACTAGCAGACACTGTAGAAAATGTGAGCCACAAGCTTCTCCTTCCTCTGATGGTCTCTTCCAGACCTTTCCTGACTGTTAGCCTCCCTGCCAGACCCAGTCAAAACTCAGCTATCCAGGAGTCCCATTCGCCAAAGTCCCACTATTTTTCAGGTCTCTCTATGCAGGGATCTGGACCAGCAGCGTGTTGCTTAGAAAGAGCGATTTGCATTTTTTATGTAACAGGAAACCTTTGCACTTCCACGGGGGTCCTGCTGGAAGAAGGGATACAGTTTCACATGGTGGGGCTCCTGAGACCCCCCGGGAAGACAAGGAGGGGAGGGTCCAGAGGTGGGCAGTTGCTTGGCCCTGCTGGGATCTCTCAAGCAGCTGTCCTGTCCCTGCCAGTGGGCGGGGCTGGTGGGCAGCTGTTGTTCTGCTGTCTGTTCAGGTTGGCGGTTTGCTGCCCTGGGGCTTGAGAAACAGCCTAGCTCAGGAGTTGTGCCCTGGGCCTCTCAGAAGGGGGTGTGAATGGGCTCTGAATGCTTTCTTCTGACAGGCATGGGGAGGGCAGCTCTGGGGAAGGAGGAGCTGGGCGTGGCAGCTGTCAAAGCCAGTGCTGGGAAAAAGAGGTCCATCCAGACACTGAATACTCCAAGGCCCCCGTTAGTGGAGCCAGGGGAACGAAAACAGTGGGATTTACTGAGTGCTCACTACATGCTAGGCGCTTTACATCTGTATTAGGCTGAACCATATGCAGTTGCCTATATTCAACTGTTTTTGACCTACTTGAGTAGCAGCTTGGTTCAAACTAAGATTATGATGTTAATTTCCAGTTGCCGCCTAGTGAGTTACCACAAAGCTGGCGGCTTAAAGCAAAAGCCGTTTATAAGCTCACGGTTTCTGTCGGTCAGAAGCTTAGGCACAGCGTATCTGGCCTCTCAGCTCAGGGTGCCCCCCAGGCTGAAATCAAGGTGTCTGCAGGGGCCGTGATCTCATCTGAGGCTCGGGGCCCGAGCCAAGCTCATTTAGATGGTTGGCAGAATCGAATTCCTCGCAGCTGTGAGACTGAAGTCCTGTTTTCTTGCTGGTTGTTGGATCGGGATGGTTCTCAGCTCCTAGAGGCCGCCCTCAGGTCCTAGCCATGCGGGCCTCTCACAACATGGCAGCTTTCTTCTTGAGAGCGGGCAGGAGAGGCTCCCCAGTCTGCCATGACAGGGTCCTATATAAGTAACAGTAATCACAGGAGTGAGTATCCATCATATTGCCAGGTCCCACCCACACTCAAGGGGAGGAGATTGTGCAGGTTTGTACTCGGGGGTGGGAGGGTAGGACTCTCGGGAACCATCTTAGATTTCTGCCTTCCAGAATTACTGTATCTTTTTAACCTGACGATGATCTTACAAGGTAGGGAGTAGT